CCACCTCCTCCTCTTCCTCCTCCTCCTCTTCCTCCTCCTCCTCTTCCTCCTCCTCCTCTTCCTCCTCCTCCTCTTCCTCCTCCTCCTCTTCCTCCTCCTTGTGTTAACCTTTTTAGTTCCTTGCTTGCAATTATAACAACATTCTCACATCAGCCTTGCAGCAAGCAAGCTTTAAGTACTTCTGAATTCATTTCTGGTATATTGTTATGCTGAAATGCCATTAAGGGTCTATTTATGTAACTCTGAACACTTGGGAAACTTCACTTAGGTGAGTATATGAACATCATTTTTTAGAAGTGATGTTGTTTTTGAGCTATTTTATGTTATTGGACTTGCTACATGTTCAGTTACGATACCACAAATAATGGTTAAGTGAATGGGTCTGCACTTCTAATTATTGCTCTGTAGAAAATACTGGAAATAAAATTATTAGATGAAAATTTTATAACTCTAGTGGAAGAATGAAGTGGAATAATGGTCTCTAGAGACTGGGAAGGGGAGCAGGAGAGGAAATGGAAGGAATTTTAACAAGGATTCCTGAGTCACAGTGGAGAAATTTGTTCTGGGTTTCTTAAAATAGACAGGGGTAAGTGTTGGTTAAAACAATATGTGGTATATTACAAAACGGGTAAAGAAATAAAAATCTCCAGATATAAAAAGGATAATGTTGAAGACATGGAAACATTTATTACCTTAGATTATTATATACTACATAAGCATATTAGATTATCATCATGTGCCATATCCAAGATGTACAAATAGTATGTCTCAAATTAAAAGAATTTACATTTTTAAAAGATTTATATTTCCATTTGCAGTGCTTCTGCAAGCCCGTCTCAATATACTTTTGACCGCAACATTTTCTTTTTTAAAGAGTAACAATTACATTTGCAAAAAGGAACACTTCAACTTTACTTCTACTTATAATGTATCTGTATTATATTCTTCTGTGCCTGCTTTTCTGTTGCATCATCTTTCTTAATGACTTAAAGACTTTTGTTGTGTTAAGAACACAGTCCTGAGTCTAAGGAGCTGGCAATCATGGGAATCTGGGCTTCATGCTCAGCCATGACCGCTTAGAAGCCACGTGCAGTGGGATACACTTACAAACTCAACATAGGGGAGGGGTACTGGGGACAGAGACAGGACTCCTGGAGCCTGCTGTCCAGCCACTCCTGACTAATCAATACGCTCTGGGAGCCTATCTCAAATGAAGGCATTGATGCTGACCTCCTGCCTCCACAAGACTCTCATCCCAGGCGGTTGTCGGCTGTGTCAAGTAGACAACTAAAACTGATTATCACAACTAAGACAATATCTTTTCTATTTGCTTTTGCTTTTGTTATTGGGTTTGTTGCAGTATTGTATTTGCTAACTTCTCGTTGCTGAGATCAAATATCTGACAAACAAAAGGAAGGAAGGGCTTGCTCTGGCCACAGTTTGAGGTACAGCCATTGTGGCAAGAAAGCTATGCAGAAGGAGTTTGAGGCAACTGATCACATCGAGTTTGATGTTAGGAAGCAGAGAGAGATGAACGCTGATGCTCAGGTAACATTCATTTGGTCCAGACCCAGCCTGTGGAAAGGCTGTCACCCACATTAACTATGTATCTTCTTACCTCTGTAACCGAGTCCAGATGCTCCCACCCAGACATGTCGAGAGGTTTGTCTCTAAGGTGACTCTGGATCCTGTTGAGCTGGCAGTCAGCATTAGCATCACAGGACTGTTGGGTTGTTGCTATTTTGGCTTTCCTCTTTTGAGAGGTGGCCTCACAGTGCAGCTCAGGCTGACCGCAGACTCGGTCTTCCCGCCTCCACCTCCCCAATGCTGACTTTATAAGCGTTCACCACCAATGTCGGCCCCTATTAGTTTCCTACCACGATGGCTCACATTCAGATTTCTGACACAGTTAGAATTTATCTGGGGCTCTATTTTGAGGTGAGATTTGAATGAGAGTTTTTACAGAACAGTCAATTTTTTTGTAAGACTTCTAAAGACGTGCCAGTCGATGGGCTGGAGAGACGGTCGGTGTTTTAAACTGCGGATTGCTCTTCCAGAGGACACAAGTTCAGTTCCTAGCACCTGAACTTGGCAGCTCACAACCGCTTATCACTCCAGGAGATCCAATGCCTCCACAGGCACCTGCACAAACATACATGCAGACTCATGTGACAATCTACATCATATGCTTAATAAAAAAGAACAAAAACTAGATCTTAGAAAGAGAAACACTACTAGGAACAATAATACTAAGAAGGAAGCATCCACAGATGTAGCTTGACGTTGACTGTAAACTTTGTCTTGTCCCCCTCTCAGGTGACCAAGAGCCAGCAGTGAGCAGTGATTCTGACATCTCACTAATTATGGCACTGGAAGTGGGCCTGTCTGACGTAGAACTTTCCACTGACCAAGACTGCGAGGAGGTGAAATCTTGAGATGGTAGAAACAGACAAAAGAAAACATAGGAATCAGGGGGACAGGAAGGAAGCATGCTCCGAGAATCGAACTGAATTCACGGCCTTCAGATCACCATGGCAACCCCAAGGCACTCTGTTCCAGGGTGGTAATGAAAGCAATATCTAAAGTCTCCCAAGTCAGGATGCGGGGTCCCATCTCTGCAACAGCCTGTGGCCTTGATGTGGAAGTTGAAAGCTGGATTCCTTGGTGTTCGTGCAGATGGGTGGCAGACCGGAAGGAGACCTTCAGAGCATCTTCCCTTGATTTCAGCTCTGCTATCTTCTTGCTCTTGTTTGGGAAAGATGGTTTCATTCCCTTGGCAATTTCTTTTTAAAGTTGATGTAGAGTTTACATCGATCCCTCTGTTTTCCCGTTGATTCACGTGAGCCCGTATACAGAGGTCTGTTTAGGAGTCCCAGTTGCTGCTCCAGTGATTGGTTTGTACCACATCTTGGGATTCATAGTCATGAGTTATCAGTATGACGTGTGTATGACTTTGAGGATCACCTCAGCACACTAAAACTGTGGGAGGCCAGATTTTATCAAGCATCTAACCCCCTCCTCTAAGTGGGTCTTGTCAAGCCCAGCTGCCAGACAGCAACACTAAGTTCTGGATCTGCTGAGTTGGTTGCTCGTTATTTTCAGCTCTGTCGCATGGGCTTCCACTTGTCATGTTCTGTCAGGGGCCAACTTGGCAGGAGAGAACTGTCAGGGAGGAATGTCTAAAACTCAGAATTCCCCAAAGGACACCATGACAAAGCTCAGAGTATGTGGAACTATAAACCTAGTTAAAAACAAACAAACAAACAAACAAACAAACAAACAAACCTGATACCCCATCTTCCCAGGGTAGGGAAGATCCCTGACTCCCTGATTTCCCCCAAGGCCTTAGCAGTTTATCTCCTTCATAAATGAATTCCATGGGTACAAGGTATAGAAAAGATGCAATCATTTTTCTTAGGTCACTGGCATCCAGGTGTAAGCTTACTTCAGGGACTGTCCTGTTAACCCTCACCAGCCTACATGGAAAGATCTAAATAAGTCCTTAACAGTTTGCATCTTGGGTCTTCCTGAGAGCATCCAGGTATCAAGAGGAGAATGAGGTATGATCTGATAAAGTCTGAATCGAAATGTGCATCATCATGGGAAATTGCTAAGTTGAGTTTCTTCGGATTTGTAAGAATCAAATAAGATTAAAAGAAAAAAAAACAAATGACTATCAAAACCCACTGTATTATAAAGTGGTTTATGATTTCATTCTCTTTTTATCTGAAACAATAACAAAAGGATACTGTCTTTCAAGTGGACAGTATTGTGATACACTCGGCAATACTAGAGGCAGAGGTGACCAGTCTGTATCCCTCTGAACAATCAGGAGGATCTCCTCCTCCTCTTCCTTCTCCTTCTTCTCTTCCTCCTTCTCCTCCTCCTTCTTCTTCCTCCTCTTCATCCTCCTCCTCTTTCTCTTCCTCCTCCTCCTACTACTCCTCATGGCTAGCAGTTGGCAAGGTCATACAGAGCAGAAATTAACCAGGGAAGCAAGCTCTTTCCACTGAGCTGTATTTATGTATTTGATTTGGGCTTTTCCACCTCATTACACTAATATCATTCAAACAGCACTCGGTTGAGCTGTAAATCCTTGCTGCCCACTGCAATTTTGAGTCCAGGGGAATGGAATTCTCTGCTGCTCTTTTTTCTTTCTTTCTTTTTTTCTTTCTTCCTTTCTTTCTACTTTTAATGTGTTCCTATTTGATGATACATGAGAAGAGAACAAGGCAAGAAAAATGATAACAAGCTTCAGAAAAGTCACCTCTGGCTAAGGTCTAGCACATCCCATAATTTAACGCCAGCCTCTAAGGACTGAGATGCTTGCTCCATGGCAAGGAAACAGGTGAGTGCTAAACCAGATTCTGTCAGATGAAGTTTTGGAGATGAGTCTCAAGGTCCCCTCATTCTTGGATCACACATTTGCACTTCTCCAGGGAGATCTATATTGTGAAAACAGCTGTGCCACACAGCAAATTTTCATATTTAGTCTAACGACATTAGAGTAATTCAACAACAAGAGAAATACAAAATTACATTGCATGACCAGAGAGGAAAAGATCTGATGGGTGTTTTCTGGCCAGTGGTCAAGTAAATCACTGATTACATACAAAAGCCCTTGACCTGATAACCTACAGGATGCTAGTGAACGGAGGAGGGTCCAAGAGGCCCATCCTTGGCCTGTGGATCTGACTTCAAGGAGACCCTGTGGCAAACTCCCTGAGCTTTTGACAGTCTCTGCTTACCAAAGAGCTTTGAAAGACTTCCCTGTGACTTTCATGGCAAAAGAAAGATTAGCAAGAAAGTTTCCTCTTGAGATAAACTAGAAAGGCTCTTACTATAGACTTTGCTGTCACCTTCTACAATGAGGAGACCCTGGCCTGAGGACCCAGTAAGCCACACATGGCTGTGCAGCCCAGGAGTGCACACTGAATATGCATTTACAGGCATGCATTTTTCTGGAGCAAGTGGTGCACCAACTCTGTCACACAGCCTAAGTCATATATATATAAATTCCCATTAGCCACATTTTAAGAAGCAAAAAAAAGAAACAGGTGAAAATAATTTAATAGTAGTTTACTTAATCTAATGTTATTGTTTTGATATGCAAAAGATATAGAAAGTGTTAGGAAAACATTTTCCTCTCTTTTTTGTTACCTAGTCTAAATCTGCTGCGTCTTTTACACACCCAGCATATCGTAATTTTTACTATTCACACTTTCCGTAGCCACGTGTGCCTAGTAGCCACCAGCTGGGCAGCACAGCCCAAGAAATATTCTAGAATCCTTAGTGTTCCCGACTTTGACAGAAGAAAAAGGATAAGATTACCTTTATTTTCCCACCAAAAGAAAACCAGAATTTAGCCAAGTTACCTAAGGAGACAGCCAGAGATGTTCTTGTTTCATAATTAATAGTGGCTCAAATAGTCTTTATTAACTTCCTAAACATCGTGTCCACTGTCATCAGCAACTGTTACTTCTCTGACCAGTTTCGTGTTAAAAAACAACAAGACAACCAACCATGTTGACTTGGTGCTGAAATAAATTTACACCCTCACTTCAATGACAGACCCGAGACTCATGTTTGAGGCTTACACCCCTCATTTCTATGACCAATCCCGAGACTCGTGTGTGACACTTAGCCAAAGAGAATTTACCTCAACCCCTAGTTCTTCCTGGCTGCCTAGTTCTAGAGCAGTAGAAATCAGAGACAGGAAAGGCATAGGGAACCACAGGCTGAGCCACACACACAATCTGTGTGGCCTTGTCGAGGAAGGCTCTCTGAGGCTTGAGACTGTCCAGCCTCTACTTGGTGAATGGTGAGCAGCTTTCTGTTCAGCTTTGTCCAAGACTGAGAGAGGAAAAGAGCCCTTGAACTCCCTCAAAGTCACTTTCAGAATGGCTTCCTCCTGTGTGGTTAGTCATTCTAAAAGGCCACTGCCTCCTGAGGACAACATTTGAACAAAGCCCCTTGGGCTTGGCAGCACCTTCAGTGTCAGTTCTGGTCACATACTCAAGAAATGGATACAGTGTGGAGAGAGTAGATGATGAAGGTATCAGAGGCAGTCTGGCAATGGTGGCACACATCTTTGATCTCAGCACTCAGACAGATGGATCTCAGTGAGTTCCAGTCCAGCCTGGTCTATGAAGCATGTTCCAGGACAGCTTCATAGAGTAACCCTGACTGGAGGCAGGGCTTGGGGGTGGGGAATAGTAACAGAGGCACCTAGCTATTTCAACATCGTATGTGACATCCTGGCCATGGGAGCCAGTCTCTCTCCAGAGAGATATTGTTGTTATTGTTGTTGGTGGTTTTGCTTTGATATTTTCATCTGTGTGTATTCAAGGGTCTTGGTGTAGCCCATTAAGAATGGCTGTGCCCAGAGTAGCCATTTCCTTTACGGCACAGACATCCCTGGGACTATCACACTTCCAGAACCAAAAAAGGACATCAGTCTGTCTAAGATTCTTGGTGTAAGCTTAGTCAGTGATGAAATAAATTGCAGACCACAAGAATTTAATGAAATTTAGTTGTCCACTGGATGCATCTCCTTGGCTGAACACCATGAAAATTACCAAATAAAAACTTTCAGAAATTTTAGGAGAGACCATCACGCTCTCTACAAAGAGAAGGCTCAGCCTTCTGCAGTACTGAGACCATGGAGGTGATGTCCTGTAGCATTTTTTTTAAATGTATAAGATGCTCTATCTGTATGTACAACTGCAAGCCAGAAGAGGGCATCAATCCCATTACAGATGGTTGTGAGCCACCATGTGGTTTCTGGGAGTTGAACTCAGGACCTCTAGAAGAGCAGTCAACACTCTTAACCACTGAACCATCTCACCAGCTCCCATAGCACTCTTAACTACTCTTCCCTGGGTTTCTTGTGCGTATTCCTGTGTCACCCTATGTTTTTGACTACCTGTTCCTTTGCAGTGCATGTGCATGCATAAGCATACACATACACACACACAGACACACATACACACACACACACACATACACACACACACTGTCACTCACACACGTACTTTCCTTATCTTACATCCCTTTTCCTTAGTGGGATGCTCCTTGGTCCCCTCCTAACAGGTCACACGAACACAGAAGCAGGATTTGGGTGACCTGTATCTGCCATCTTCCCAGGGTCCTTATCACTTAGCATGACACACTTCTTGGACAGGACATACAGGTCACTTAACCATGTCTAAGAGGAATAGAGGCACTCCCCTTCAAAGATCGAGCTACCTGCTTTCTTGAGCAGTACCTCTGTCCCTGTTGGGAGGGAACTGGAGAGCAGGGTTGATGGTTGCATTTCACAAGGGGAATGACCAGTACCCTGAAGGACATCCACAGGAGGTAGGATCTTAGATCAAAGCAGGGTGAGCTAAGTGGAAACTCTATCTGGAAATATGCCCCTCCCCTGGGTTCAGAACTTATCAATGAGTCCGAGGGAGAGCAGGTGTTTAACAAATTCAGTAGTCATGAGTTAAAACATTCTTGATTGTAAAGAAGATTGAAATAGCCTGAAAAATAAGTTAATTCTGGTCCCAGTTTCTTACTGCTATGTAGCTTTTCTCTCTCCCACTAGCTCCCAATACCAGGTCTTTCACAGGATGGACAGTAGTAGTTAAAGTCTTGTAGATACGGGAGTATTTTGCTCCACTGTGAGCCTTTTTGTGGCCTGATGTTATCATTCCATAAGTAATGAAGTGACTGTGGATCCCAGATGTGAACTTTAATTAGTTTAATCAGTCCCTTGTTCTGTAAGAGCCTGTCTCAGTCACCGACCCCTCCCTGTCTTATGTCTTATAATCAAGTGGCTTTTTCATGAACCTCAGTGCCCAGATCCTCTAACCCAGTGGCACTATAGATGCCTACCCTCACTACAGAGCTGCTTTCTCTTTAGCCACTTGATATGTGTTCAAGGAGGAGGAGGAGGAGGAGGAGGAGGAGGAGGAGGAGGAGGGAATATGCTGCTCTAAAGAGGCAGACAGAAAATCCACAGAGAAAGGAGAGATAGCTGAGTAACCCAAAGTCATTGCTGGGTAGAAATTCTGTGGTTTGCCGTCCTTTGGCCAGCAGTGACCTTGGGGAATCAAAGAAAATGTGAGAACTGTGTGTGCTAAATAAACCAAAGACCGATCAACACCCAAATGGACACATATTCTTCCATGAACTAGCTGAATTTTCTCCTGATGCTCTCAAAAACAAAAGTCAAGATGAATCCTTTGGGCACTTAGATTTTTTTTTCAGGCTGCTGGTTGGCCTTGCTAAATCCACAAATCTAACATAATGGACTGTGGCCTTAGAGACACGCCATCTTTAAACTTCTGTGTTTAACTCCCTTTTCTTCAAAACTTCCAGACAAACCTAGCACTCATATGGAACTCAGAATAGTTTTCTTTGAGAATGTGCAGATTTTTAATAGCCAAAGAAATTTCATGTAAGAGCTAGCTCACTGTAGTGTATCCTGCTCTTTGAAGTAAATACCAAATTGTCGCCTGTTAGGGACAGAGCAATGGAAGGCCAGTGCATGGGCTTAGCAATCCAAATCTGTGTTGGTATATTCCGCACCTACCGGTCTGTAGGATGTTAGTGTGGGGGCAGAGCGCCCTCTGCTGGAATGATGATTTTAGCCGTTAATTTGCAATGGGTCTCCACTTCAATATGTGTGTCTTCTTACCATTCCTTCAGTAGTGGAGAACTTGGCCAGCACTTCTCAAATGAGGAGAGAATGTCATGAACTCTATAGAGCTGTAGGCGACCTCAAAGCAGACCTGTTTTAAAACATTGCTGTGTTCTGTTGCAAAGATGCCTCCGACTGGGATGTGTGTTATCAGCAGAGGTCTGTGTGGCTTTGGCTCAGCTCCACTTCCTCCCATGAAACCATGAAAGAAGATTAATACAAGGACTTCTTCTTCCTGTGAATGTAAATGGTGTGAAATAAAGCGTTTTGTATGTGTACAGAATCACTTTAGTTCCTGCTTTTAGCTTACTAGTAGGAAATGATTGTACCATTTTATAATTAGGAAGAGATTT